CCCCAAAACCCCAAAACCCCAAAACCCCACGAGAAGTTACTAAATCAATTTAACTTAAAAATTAGACTTTAATAATTCCAATATATAATAGTCAATCTTAGTTATAAAATTAAGTTTTAATGCTTGAAATAATTTATAATTGTCTTATTAAGTTAGTTAATCTTGATCGTGAAAATTGAAAATTTCTATAAATTTCAAATTTCGTGTTAATAGCTCACTCTTGTTTGAAAGTATTATCATCGTATCTGTTCGTGGCAGAATTAATTTAACTTATTATTATTTATCTTGAATGATCTCTTTCCTTTCTAGGCCCAGCAGCACTCTATAATCTCTTTTTATGCTACTGAGAAGATACTATTTTACTATTGAACTCAATATCATTAGATTACTGGTTTTTATTAGAATAAGCTACCACTGAGGGATAGTTTTTAAGTCTTTTCTCTTGGAGATATTAATTCCCTGTAATTACTTTTTTTGATGATCTACTTACCACCTAAATATCCTCTAAAGTTGACTTGCAACTAGCCAGAACTGAAACCCATTTTTGAAGTCTTTTAGATCTGTTATCGTCTTTAAAAGTTTCTCTCTTGGATTCAAACAATGTTGGATTGAAGTTAGCACCATCCTAGAAATGTTTTAATTTATCCCCTCTGGATTTCTGCAAATTAGAGTAATCCTCTCCGATCCTTTCATGGTTGACATCACTCACATTTTTAATGAGCGACTCTATCTCATATTTGTTAAGATCTATGTGGTATAGGTAAATTTTTATTATTTTACATTCAAGAAGCATTTTAGATTTGCCATATAAGACTAGGCAATCAGTTAATGCAGTTACTTTAAGTATTCTTCTAGATTACTTTACTATTTCTTCATAGCCAAACCATTCTGGAGCCTCTCTAACAGCTAATTTCTTCAATAGTGTCTATTACTTGATATTCCACTCTGTCATTTTACCCTCGATCGGGACTTTGGTAATTGTTTCAATATCAAACATTGTTTCAACTTTAACTATTCCTTATCTCAATATGTAAAAATGATCAGCTCTATCATCAATTTCGTAGAATACTAATTTTATAAGTTAAATTTACTCAAATTACTATGATCTTTTTTGAAGTATCCTAGATTTAATTCTTAATAAAAAGAAATTAGCTAATCTTAAGGCCATTTTTAAAACATTTTGATCGAAGAAATTGTATGAAAGTTAATAAATTTTTCATTGCTCTTAACAAGCTATAAATTTGTTAAAAATTTAAAAGTAATTACCTTTTATGCAGTTTCTAAATCCTCTTTAAGTAATTTTATAACTTAAGTATCGTTTTAAATTGCAGTAACTTAAAACTTTGAATTATTATAATTGCCTTCTAGCAATTGATTCAAGCATATAACATCTCTTTTTCCTCTTACTATGAATTGAATATTGTTTTTGTCTTAATTTGTTTCCCTTGCTTCTCCTTTTATAATGATGTATATAGTGTCTAGTGGTTGATTTTAAGCAATAACTATTAGAAATAACAAAAACATAATTTATTACTTGTTTCTTCGTAACTATATGTTTGAACTGAAAGGCTTTCACATACTTTTGAGATAAGACTGTCCATCATAAAATTAGAACTAATTTTCCCAAGACTTTTTTTGACAAATTTATTCAGTTTTTCCTTCTCAAATAAAGTTCTTGACTCAGGTTAGCTAAAATAATCTTAATTATAAAAATCTTTACATTGAATCAACTATCTAGTATATATCAAGATTCTTAATAATAGCTTGTTTGGAATAATTTTTTATTTCGTTCTTAAACCACTCAGGAAAGTCATTTGACTCCTAATGAAAGTATTCTTAAATCTCTAAAAAACTTACATATATTGATATATTTTTAGTAATTCCAATATCTTCATCTTTACCTTTAAGGTACTTTTCTGACCTCTCTACCTTATGCTTTAGCCTATCATAGTGATTCAGAATTATTTTCTAATCTTAAATACCGTCTCTAATCATCTACTATTTTATATGCTTTGCACTTTCCTAAAGTTCTTATTATAGTACCTTGAAGCTCTTAAGGTACTTCTTATCTAGAGGATTATCACTTTTAATAGGATTTTTTTAATCTTGAGTATTAAGAATCTAATTTTCAGGTTATAAATTACTACTGTTATTAGAATTTCGTTCTAATCTCTTAAATCTCTCAATTTCTTATCTATAATCTAAATTTTTTGTTAGATATTCTAATCTGTTGAAATAAAATTCTTTCAATTACTTTTTTGCAGAATCTTTTGACCAATTGTCCTTAATTGATTTCAGGTCTTTTTTGGAAAATATTTCGTTTTTAAGTTTGTCAAGGAAATTTAATCTTTGATTTATATTATCCTCTACTATTGATCTTTCAAAATCAATAAATGATGATTAATTATTTGACCTATTTTTCTTTTCAGCTGAGTCTAAATTCATTTTTTTTGAATCTTTATTCTTGATTTATTTTATAAGGCTATGATATTCATTTGCTTCACTTTTAAATTCTCTTAGTTTCTCTGCTTCTTTTAGGTTCTCCTAAATCTTAGGATTAGTAAAGAAACTGTTATCTACTTATCTGGACTCTATTCTTTTCCTAGTTTTTTCATCATCTCTCTTAAATTTTTCAGTCATTGCTTTTTGAAGCTTCCTGCTCTGCTTCTTATTTAACGAATGATTTTAAATTTATCTATTCGAGAGATCACTAGGATTAAGATATACATTATCAATAACTGGCTTTTTTGCGCTCTTATGATTTTTCCTCATAAGTAATTCTTTTCGCTTTTACTCAACAATTTATTTAAGCCTATTGAAGCTATCCTATGAATTTTTCTGGAAATTTCTGAAACTAACTGATTAATTTTGCTCAAATAAAGCTTAATTTTCAGCAGTTTATTAATCTTTCTAAGATAAAGTACTAGATTTCTTTGAATGAGAAGTCATATTTCTAGCCATTGAGGCAGTTTTTGGTCTCCCATCACTATGATTTTACATTAGTCTTTCTTTGAATTGCTCATAAGATCTAAGAATATCGTCAGCAGGATCATAAGGATGAGATTGTAGCTAATGATCTTTAAGTTGAGTAAATGATTAGCTGACATACTTCGACTTATTAAGCTTTTCTGTGAAATCTTATTAAGAGGAGTATATCATTCGCTATTTCTAAGCACCATTCGTGATGTAGTCCTCATAATCTTGGATGTCTGATTAAATGTTAAGCATAGGAGAACTAATATTTTTCTAACTCAAAACGGATTATCTTTCTGAAATGAGGTTTATTTAATTAAAGAAACTTACATTGACTCCGAATGGAGCTTGCTCTTTGAATGCGAGATTCAGCTGCTGTACTCTGTATTTATTGACTCATAGAAGCTGAACCGATCATACTGGTTAAAGGTCTGTACTATCCTTTATCTATCATTTTGCTTTAATGATTCCTTTGTCTTCTTACTGGTGACTCGTCAAATTAAACATTATATGGACCATCGCTCTTTCTATCTGATTAGAAATTATCCTATTTTTTAATGGAGGTATTAGAAACAGCTCTCTTACTGATATTTACCATGCTGTTATTAACTGATGAAATGTTTAGCAGGATACTCTAGGATGCTGTTGATTAATGCTAGTGAGTTAATTAAATATTTTCCTTAGGAGCATTTATACTACTTTTTCTAGATATTATAGAAGCTTATTTATTAATGGAGGTTTAGGGTCTTTGAGGCATTTAAACAGTAGAGAGATTATGATAGTGAAACTTTTGATGATCGGTTATATTTTACGCCATCTGTTTTTTTAAGTAATCTTTAATAAATTAAAAACTAATATATTCACAAATTTATTTATATAAGGTATTAGGGGTTTTGGGGTTTTGGGG